ACGGAGAGAAAGCAAGAAAGCTGTAAAGTGCCTCCTTTAAGTAAAAAATGAAGTTACTTATTTAATAAAAAACAAAAATTGTATGCTGAAGCTGCTAAGATTTACCATAAATCTTCTGTAGATGAGTGTGAATAAAAAATAATCAGTGCTTGCTTTTCTGTCACACCTAAAAACTAAACTAAAAAGGTAATATTTAGAGTTCAGTACTATCCACTTTCAGGCATCCACTGGAGAACTCTTGGAAGGTATCCAATGGGTTAAAAAAGAACTACAGTATTGACAAAACTCAATGCTGTTTAATTCCACCATAGAAAACAATTGTCACTCATTATTTTAACCCACAGAGCATAATGGCCTAGTGTCCGTTGGGAAGTTCCTTACTCAGGTAAGATAAAACCATGTTGGTAAAAGGAAAGTCACTGAGTTATGAACACAAATGACAGCATTTTATTAATTGAACCATGAGACTTCTGATACATTCTGAATATAAAATATAAATGGTAAATAAACACAGTTAAATTTAAATCCCACTTGTGAACATGCTATTGATTTTTTTGACTAAAGTCTCCTCTCTAATAATTGCTCTCTTCCATCTCCAAGAGTAAGACTAATTTTTAATTGATCTTTGATATATAACAGCTGTCATTCAAGAGAGATGTCCACCATTTCCCCTCCTTACCAGAAAAAGTATCTTACTTAGAGCCGGGCACGGTAGCTCAAGCCTGTAATCCCAGCACTTTGGGAGGTCGAGGCGGGTGGATCACGAGGTCAAGAGATCGAGACCATCCTGGTCAACATGGTGAAACCCCGTCTCTACTAAAAATACAAAAAAATTAGCTGGGCATGGTGGCGCGTGCCTGTAATCCCAGCTACTCAGGAGGCTGAGGCAGGAGAATTGCCTGAAACCAGGAGGCGGAGGTTGCGGTGAGCCGAGATCGCGCCATTGCACTCCAGCCTGGGTAACAAGAGCGAAACTCCGTTTCAAAAAAAAAAAAGAAAGAAAAAGAAAAAGTATCTTACTTATTCCACATAGAAGGGAATGAAAGAGGGAGAGGAGTCTCTCCCTGTTGTTCCGGTTCCTGTTTTTCCTTTTCCTTTAAATCTCCTGAATGTCCTTCAGGTGGAGAAGATGGGCAGTCTGACTCACTGAAATCTGGCAGATAAAGAGGATACAACGCAGAGCATACCAGGGCCCAGGTATGCTACAAAATAGTAACATTTTAGTAAAATGACCTTGCTCATATCCTCTTTTTATGCAGTGATCTACCTGATCCCATAACTCTAAATCTAAGGTTCCTTGATCAGGAAACCAAGGGCATTCCTGCCCAATTAAGATCGTACACTTGTGTACAGCTCCAGGTTCTGCAGTACACTGAATAGCCTTAAGTAGCTGTTGCACTGTTTTAAAAAACACTTTCTGCTCTTTGGTCATTTCTTGACCCATGATAACCTAGCCCCTGATATTTTAAGCGTGCGTCCCATCCTCCCGATGGGAGTCAGGACTGTCCCTTATTGGGATTCCCCGAAAAATGACGAGCTCTCCTCCTTCCTGCGTAAATTCAAGGCAATCACATCAGGGGCACCACTTGAAGATCTTCTAGCTTGCAGTGAATGCTGAGAATGAAGTACTCAGATAGTTCCAGCTGAGTGGGGCTAGAAAGTAGCTCTTCTGAGATAGTACGCCCCAGCCTCTGTCCGCCAAGTGTTTATTGAAAGGGCTTGTATTAACTACACACATCCATTAGATGGCCATTTGAGGTGAGTTACTGAAGCACTCCCACGCACAAATAACATACACGGTGCCTCAGGATTTTTCCATGCCCTGACCTCAAATGTCATGTACATAAGCTTGAATATGTTGCCATGCGCCCCCCACACAACAGAAGCTGGAGAGGATGTGGAGAAATAGGAACGCTTTCACACTGTTGGTTGACTGTAAATTAGTTCAACCATTGTGGAAGACAGTGTGGCGATTCCTTAAGAGGATCTAGAAATAGAAATATCATTTGACCTAGTAATCCCATTACTGGGTATATACCCAAAGGATTAGAAATCATTCTATTATAAAGACACGTGTACACATACGTTTATTGTGGCACTGTTCACAATAGCAAAGAGTTGGAACTGACCCAAATGACTATCAATGATGGACTGGATAAAGAAAATGTGGCACATATACATCATGGAATACTATGCAGCCATAAAAAGGATGTGTTCAGGCCGGCGCGGTGGCTCAAGCCTGTAATCCCAGCACTTTGGGAGGCCGAGGTGGGTGGATCACGAGGTCAAGAGATCGAGACCATCCTGGTCAACATGGTGAAACCCCGTCTCTACTAAAAATACAAAAAACTAGCTGGGCATGGTGGCGCATGCCTGTAATCCCAGCTACTCAGGAGGCTGAGGCAGGAGAATTGCCTGAACCCAGGAGGCGGAGGTTGCGGTGAGCTGAGATCGCGCCATTGCATTCCAGCCTGGGTAACAAGAGCGAAACTCCGTCTCAAAAAAAAAAAAAAAAAAAAAAAAAGGATGTGTTCATGTCCTTTGCAGAGACATGGATGGAGCTGGAAACCATAATTCTCAGCAAACTGACACAAGAACAGAAAACCAAACACCGTATGTTCTCACTCACAAGTGGATGTTGAACAATGAGAACACATGGACACAGGGAGGGGAACATCACACACTGAGGCCTGTCAGGGGGTAGGGGACTAGAAGAGGTATAGCAGGAGGTGGGGGATAGGGGAGGGATAGCATTAGGAGAAATACCTAATATAGATGATGGGATGATGGATGCAGCAAAACCACCATGGCACGTGTATACCTATGTAACAAACCTGCACATTCTGCACATGTACTCCAGCACTTAAAGAATAATAATAATAATAATAAAAAGATTAGGAAAAGTTTCATGTTTGAGTAGGAGAATAGCTCACGACGTGCACTCTCCAATGAGACACACATATGTGGCCAGTCTCCCACGTGTCAGGCCTCACCATTTCTTGCTCTTCTTCATGGGAGACCCCATCTTCCTCCAGGGAACATGAAAAAGAGCCTCTCAAGACATGCTAACTAAAAGCTTGTCATTGTTTTAATTAGCAAACAAACAAAAAAAAAGTTTTCAAAAATGTTCTCAGCTCTGAAGTTTACATGCCCATTGCTGCCACAGGAGAAATGATAATTGCAGTTATCAGGGGAGGTGAAGTCACAGAATCATGAGCTCATATTCCAAGGTCAAGCCTCCCCCTCTCACACATGTACAGAATGCTGGACATTGATGCTGTGTCTACTATCCAGGAAGAGGGATGGAGATTTTGAGTATTCAGAATTTCAACCCGAGAGACAGAATCTGTGAGGGAAGGAGGAGTCATGGGATCTGGGTAAGTGATCATATTGGAAAGAATGATTTTCCTGAGATTAAACGTGGTCCAGTCCCCAAGCAACATAGGGAGAAAAAATTTTGAGGCATGAGCTGAGCTAGTGAAGTGAGGTCCTGAGCCCCCACACTACTTTCTTATGACTCCTAGTGTAATATAATATAATCCAGAGTGAGAGTGATTTGGATGTTTCATCCAAGCAACAGGAAGCCTGATCTTTAATGTATTAAGGACTGTAGTTCCAGTATCAATCTGCTGTTCAGCCCCCTTGACAGGAATTATGGACATAATTTTCAGGTTTACTAGAGGTGCACCTGTAATACCTTCATGCTTGTAATAAAGAAGATGATTAATCGACAGGAACCTTCTAATTTTGTGCAGAGACAGGTGTCTAACAGCACTTGCTGGAATAGACACGTTTTCTCTAACTCTGGGCGTATAGAGTCCGTAGTAGATTCAATAATAACAACTCTAATGATTATGGAGATAACTTTCTCTCCTAACATTACAAAAACTGCATTGACCAAAAAGGTAACTTTGTAATTTGCAGTTTCAGAGAGCATCTTTCAGGCTCAATGGTATCTTTTTTAAAATATTTCTCCTACTTTGAAATATAATAATCAAAAAACGGTGTTTTAGTTTATAGAGTGCACAATATTTTGTACCCTCTCATTACATTTTGCCTGGGCCCCCTGTTTTAATATTTGTCACAAATAGTGCATTATTGCTAATATGATTTTAGTTAACTCAAGTATTAATTGATAGATAAGGATATAATTAGAAATCAGTAATAATTTAGTTTCTACCATATGCTTTTATGTCAGACACCAGTGTTTCATGTGCTGTAGTTCCTCTGATTGGTACCACTATACTTTAGTTCCTGGGATAAAAGCAAATGAGTCTTCTGTAAGCATTCTTATATGATGCCATCCCTGTGTTCATTAAATCCAAATGTCAAGGGAGAGGTACCTATAGGATTACACTGAAATCTATACACCTACATTTCAATGAGATCTCTAAAGTCTTCCTCAAAATTTGCACTGGTCAGTAGAATAATTTTTATAAATCAGTGGAAACTACAAAAATTATGAAATAAGATACCAGCAATAGCATGAAATAACAAAGTGTAAAATTAGAACGTATTTTAGAACTGGTTTGTTGGAAAAGTACAGCGAACTAGTTTTTTTTTTTTAGCATGTCATGGATTAAACACAGTATTTTTGTTACCAGCACAGTCAGGTTCTAAGTCCCACTCTGGCCCTACAAGGCTGTGAATTTAGACCATGTGCATAACCTCTCTGTGCCTGTGTTCTCATCTTTATAAGGAAAGTCATAGTCATAGTCATCGCTGCCTCACAGATTTGTGAGGAATAAAGAAGTCACTCCGTGAATAACTTTCATAGCTGTGACTTGGACATTGCAAGTATTTTTTAATGGTTATACATTCCAGTCTGGGAAGCCTCTAATGGATGGAACAACCGTAAGTAACTAATTTCTGCATGAGAACTGCTGGTACATAGAGAATAGTGTATTTCAGCTGATGTGACAAATGTTGCCCAATCTTCATATTCCCATGCAGTATCCTCCTGCTCGGAAGACAAATATCAATAACTGAGAACCAACAGGATGTTCACCAGGGATTTGGCCATAGGAATGATATTCTTATCACAGACTGTATTTGGAATCCTGGGGAACTTCTCTCTGCTTTATCATTATCTCTTCCTTTATTTCACTGGGTGCAGGTTGAGGACCTCAGATTTCATTGTAGAGCACCTGATTGTAGGCAACATTTTGGTCATTGTCTCCGGAGGAATCCCCTCTATAATACTGTCTTTTGGGTGGATATATGTCCTCAATGATGGGGAATGCAAATTCACTTACTATATTCACAGAGTGGGCAGGGGAGTGTCCATTGGCAGCACCTGCCTGTTGAGCGTCTTCCAGGCCATCACCATCAGTCCCAGGAACTCCAAGTGGGCAGAGCTTAAAGGGAAAGCTCCCAAGTACATTGGCCCTGCTATTTTGCTATGCTGGACCCTGCAGATACTAATAAATATCATTTTCCCTCTCTATGTAAATGGAAAATTGAGCAACAAAAACATTACCAACACACAAGGTTTGGGATACTGTTCTTCTATTCGTCAGAATCATACCACAAACTTTCTGTTTGCAGCACTGCTGTCCTTCCCAGATATGTTCTGTTTGGGGCTCATGCTCTGCGGTAGCAGCTCCATGATTTTGGTCTTGTACAGGCACAAGGATCGGATGCGACACATTCACAGGACCCATATCTGCCCTAGATCTTCCCCTGAGTCCAGAGCTACTAAAACCATCCTTCTCTTGGTGAGCACCTTTGTCTGTTTTTACTCCCTCTCCTGCATCTTTCAAATTTATTTGGTTCTTGTTAATAATTCCAGCTGGTTTCTGGTGAACACTGCTGGGATAGTTGCTGCATGTTTTCCAGTCATCAGCCCCTTTCTGCTCTTGAGCCGTGACTCCAGTGCATTCACACTGTGCTTTGCCTGGATAGAGAATACAAAAGCCCCCAATCATACAGGGAACACATGAATTATAAAATTCTGCAAAATATTAAATTGTCACTTCATTTGTCTCTCACAGAATCGCATGTATCAGTTGTATAAAATGCAAGTGGTGGTTTACACAAACATGTACACAATGCACAGAGGCACATTTGTACACTATCGTGTGCATGTATATACATGTATGTAGATATGCATGTGTATTATGCATATCAATCAGATTATAGTTGTTATTCATCAAGGTATAACACTATGAAATTATACATAGGACATGTACAATTTAAATTTAAAATAGTACTAACTGGCCAGGCACAGTGGCTCACACTACAATCCCAGCCCTTTGAAAGGCTGAGGAGGGTGGATCACCTGGGGTCAGGAGTTTGAGACCAGCCTGGCCAACATGGTGAAACCCCATCTCTACTAAAAATACAAAAATTAGCTGCACATGGTGGTGGACACCTATAATCTCAGCTACTCAGGAGACTGAGGCAGGAGAGGTGCTTGAACAGATAGGCAGAGGTTGCAGTGAGCTGAGAGCACACCACTGCACTCCAACCTGGGCAACAGAGTGAGACTCTATCTCAAATAAATAAAATAACATAACATAACATAAAATAAACTAATTGCAATGATCACAAACCGTATGCCATAATGTACATTTTATCTGATATTCATCTTGGCATTGTAGTTGATAACCTTGTTAAGATATGTGTATTTTATTTGTATTTATATACTTTTATTTTTATGACTGTACTATATCTCTTGAAAAAATATCCAAGTGAAGATAATCAAGCAATATTTCAGTTTGATAGAAGGTAATTAATCTCTTGTTTAATATAATAATGGACATACTTGGAGAGCATTTACCAAAATATTGTTTGGTCTTCCTGACACCTGTTCTATTTTCTTAACTTTCTATGTCAATTTTTTTTTTTTTTTTTTTTGAGACAGAGCTTCACTCTTGTTACCCAGGCTGGAGTGCAATGGTGAGATCTCGGCTCACCGCAACCTCTACCTCCTGGGTTCAGGCAATTCTCTTGCCTCAGCCTCCTGAGTAGCTGGGATTACAGGCACTCGCCACCATGCCCAGCTAATGTTTTGTATTTTTAGTAGAGACGGGGTTTCACCATGTTGACCAGGATGGTCTCGATCTCTTGACTTCATGATCCACCCGCCTTGGCCTCCCAAAATGCTGGGATTACAGGCTTGAGTCACCGTGCCTGGCCTCTATGTCATTTTTTAAATATTTATTTAATTCATTTTAAAGATACTGGATTTTAACCCGGTTCTTTGAGTGCTATATATTTAGTTATGTCTACCTTTCTACCTAGATGTTACATCGTACTTCTGAAAATAAGCATAATTTAGAGTTGTTTAATACATTTACTTTCTATATAGACAATACAAACACTTTCATATGACTCTATTTGCTTCTTACAATTCACCACTTAACTGCTGATATGAATTTTTATAAATGTATGTGCAGGTCATGAATCCACTCTTCAACAAACTTCACAAACTAAGCACATCTCCCTATGCAGATCTTATATTAAAGCCTGGGGGGTGCCTCCTCATACCCATATCAGTTACTGTTTCCACAAGTGACCACTATTTCTTTTTTTTTGAGACAGAGTCTTGCTCTGTTGCCCAGGCTGGAGTGCAATGGTGCGATCTCAGCTCACTTTAACCTCTGCCTCCTAAGTTCAAGCAATTCTCCTGTTACAGCCTCCTGAGTAGCTGGGATTACAGGTATGCACTACCAGGTCTGGCAAATTTTTGTATTTTTAGTAGAGATGGGGTTTCACCATGTTGGCCAGGCTGGTCTTGAACTCCTGACCCCTAATGATCCTGCCGCCTTGGCCTCCCAAAGCGCTGGGATTACAAGGGTGAGCCACCGGTCCTGGCTGAGTGACCACTATTGCTACATCAAACAATATAGTTCAGTTCCACCTACTAATATTTATGTAAATAAAATGATTCAGCATGAATTCTTTTGTATATTTGTCTTTTAAGAATTTATGGCCAGGCACGGTGGCTCACACCTGTAACCCCAGCACTTTGGGAGGCTGAGGCGGGTGGATCACGAGGTCAAGAGATCGAGACCATCCTGGTCAACATGGTGAAACCCCGTCTCTACTAAAAATACAAAACATTAGCTGGGCATGGTTGCGTGTGCCTGTAATCCCAGCTACTCAAGAGGCTGAGGCAGGAGAATTGCCTGAACCCAGGAGCTGGAGGTTGCAGTGAGCTGAGATCGCGCCATTGCACTCCAGCCTGGGTAACAAGAGCGAAACTCTGCCTCAAAAAAAAAAAAAAAGAATTTATGTATTTGTAAATTTTGTACATTGTTGGTAATAGTATTTGTGTGCTGAATCAAACAAATAATTCAATCTTTACTTTTAATGTGAATATGAGCGGTTTTAAGCTTAAGGCTATCATGAAATGTACCTGTGTGAAAGCTCTACATCATGTTTTGGTGATATATACATGGATTTCTGTTGGGTATATATGAAACAGTGGACTTGTTGGGTCACAGTTTTCTATCTACTTAGCTTTAGGAGGTATTGTCAAGCAATATTCCAAAATGTTTGCACAAATATTATAGCCAGAAGATGCTTCTAATTTTAATATCATATTTGTTATGTTACTCTTCAGGGTTAATATTTTCTGTCTGTTAAAAAGTATTTTCCTATCATAACAAAGATGTTCTTGTGTTGTTGTTTTATAAAAAATCATTTTGTGCCTTTACAATTTACATCAGCAATTCATTCAGAACGTATTTGTCACGAGTGCGGGTATGACTGAAGTGTTTTATATCAAGGGAATAAATCTCAATTGATTCTGAAAATGTTATGTTTGGCTTTCATTTTATTTGTTATTTGTCATCACTTCACGGAGGTTAAACTTGCTTTTCTTTGGAACTGACTCTTCTGTCAAGGTTCCTGGTCATTTTGTCTCATTTTGTCTTCCATAGTCTTTAAAACTCCACTACACCATACAATCATGGTTCATCTTCATGTCAAAATCTTCAATGAGAAGGAAGAATGGGAAGGTGGTAGAATACAAAGACCAGGAATTCTTCTTCCCATTTAGGCAACAATTAAACTGACAGAATCTGTCTGATGTAAGTATTTTGCAACTTCAAAGTATTTTGAAGGCTTTTATCTGTCACTGAAAAGCAAGCTTGGGTAGTAAATTACAGCTACTTTCAAAGATACCAATCTTGCCATTCCCAGACACATGGCAGGCAGGGACACATGTGTTCCTGCCACAGCTTGCAGGCATCTTGGAGAAGCCTGCATATGAAATAAGAACTCTAATCTCCAAATATTCAGGACTTGTGTTTGATTTGTTCATTAATGATTGTGGTCACAGTGATGCCAACATAGAGGCAGGCAGCCATTGTTGCACCCACCTACCACCGTTGAAAACTTCTCCCACTCTCCGATGATTTAAATGGCCAACATCTTTTATTCTTAGTTCTATTTCCATCCTTCATTTTTCTCATTCAACCTTTTGGAATACACACATTTAAGATCTAGGGTATTCAAAAGACATTGCATATATGGGGTAATTTAGGAAATCACCCTGCATGCTAAGGGAAAGTAAATCAAGGTTTCTGGAACCCTTATTCTGCAAAATTCATGTTATCTTGGCATTGCTGTTTCTTGCCTGGAGCATCTTATTTTGTTTAACAGCAAACAAATGTGTCCTCTACTCTAGAAGCTGACCCTTTGTCTATCTTCCACATGGTCTCCAGGTGTTGAGGAAAGGGAAGGATGACTAGTGGAGCTTGAAGGAATTTTGAGGCAGTGAAACTAATGTATATGAGAGCATGACACTGAATACATGTCACCACATACTTGTCAAAAGCCACAGAATGTCCAATACTGAGAGGATTCAGTAATGGGATACTGTGGGCTTGGCTGAAAATGAAGTGTCAATGCAGGTGCATCAGTTGTAGCAAGTGTAATATTCTGGTATGGGACTTTGATAAGATTGAGGCTGTGAATGTGTCAGGTAAGGAGGATAAGAGAAATTGCTGTATTGTCCACTAAATTTTTCTGTGAACCTAAAAATATTCTACAAAATAAAGTCTATGATTAAAATAGAACAAATGCTACAAAACCCGTTCATTACCCTTGGCATAGGAGGCAGTATGAACATCCTGAGTGCCTCAGTTTGGCTTGATCTCTTCCCACCACAATTCCAATAGAAATGATACTGAGAGGATCTGGTGAATGCTGCATATGCAGTGGGTTTACCTACCAGCTGAGGAACCCTGAGAATAGAAAAATTAAAGCAGCTAGCAAGGCTCCCCAACCATTTGCCTAAGAAGGAAACATTATCTTTATTTTTATATATAGGAAATAATTATGTCAACTATTCCAAAAGATGATACTATCCATATCTTTTTTTCCATACACGTTCTATGAAAAGACAGTTCAGAACAAACGCTGCTCCTACCCCTGTCCACAAGACGTATGCACACAGTAGATACACATGATGTCTTTGAATATTTCTTCACTGTAATCACTCCTGGCAGGTTATCCCATCAATATAGCATTTGGTCAAACACCCATTAATCTGACAGAGAAGCCAGGACTAAATCTTTTTAACTTGCCTCAAGAAACATTTGATTAGGACTCCTACCAACAAGACGAGGGAAATCTGCCTCATGTACATCTGCTTTGCCTATGAAGTTCCCACGATAAGCCAGATGAAGACCCCGGTACCAATTTACGGTTACCATAGAAAGACGTGAATTTGCCATAAGTGTCTATATTGACATATCAAGGTTAACAACATAGTTTACGCCGGGCGCGGTGGCTCACGCCTGTAATCCCAGCACTTTGGGAGGCCGAGGCAGGTGGATCACGAGGTCAAGAGATCGAGACCATCCTGGTCAATATGGTGAAACCCCGTCCCTACTAAAAATACAAAAAATTAGCTGGGCATGGTGGCGCGTGCCTGTAATCCCAGCTACTCAGGAGGCTGAGGCAGGAGAATTGCCTGAACCCAGGAGGT